TCCTCCTGCCTCAATCTTCCAAGTAGCTGGGACGACAGGCGCATCCCACCATGTCCAGTTAGGTTTCGTTTTTGTTTTGATTTTCTTTTTTTTTTTTTTTTGAAGCAGAGTCTCGAACTGTGTCCCAGGCTGGGGTACAGTGGCCCAATCTTGTCTCACTGCAACCTCCACCTGCTGGGTTCAAGCGAGTCTCATGCCTCAGCCTCCCAAGTAGCTGGGATTACAGGCATGTGCCACTACACCCAGCTAATTTTTGTATTATGAGTAAAGATGGGGTTTCACCATGTTGGCCAAGCTGGTCTCAAACTCCTGGCCTCAAGTAATCCACCGGCCTCAGCCTCCCAAAGTGCTGAGATTAGAGATGTGAGGCACCACGCCCAGCCCCAGCTAGTTTTTTTTAATGTTTTGTAGAGATGGGGCCTTGCTGTATCGCCCAGGCTGGTCTTGAATTCCTGGGCTCAAGTGATCCTCTTGCCTCAGCTTCCCAAACCACTGGGATTATAGGCATGAACTATTATACTCAGCCTTTTCCTCTCTTGATGGTGTATTTTGGTGAACAGACACTCTTAATTTTAATATACTTCAATCTATTGATCTTTTCTTTAATAATGATTGCTTCCTGTGTCCTATTTAGGAAACTTTTTCTTAATTGAAATCATCAAGATTATATTACCTTTTAAAGTTTAATCGATTAATTATTATCATTACTCTGCTTTTTACATTTAGATCTATGATCTACCTGTAATTGATTTTTTGTGTATGGTGAAAGGTATGGGTCAAAACTTTTTCATATAAAGATCTAATTGTCTCAGTACAGTTTACTAAAAAGGCAACCTTGGCCAGGCACAGTGGTTAACGCTTATAATCCCAACACTTTGGGAGGCCGAGGTGGGCTGATCACCTGAAGTCAGGAGTTCAGGACCAGCCTGGCCAATATGGTAAAACTCCATCTCTACTAGAAAAACACAAAAATTAGCTGGGCGTTGTGGTGGGTGCCTGTAATCCCAGCTACTTGGGAGGTGGAGGCAGGAGAATCACTTGAACCTGGGAAGTGGAGGTTGCAGTGAGCTGACATCGTGCCACTGCACTCCAGCCTGGGCAACAGAGTGAGACTCTGTCTCAAAAAAAAAAAAAAAAAGGGCAACCTTTTCCACTGCTCTGTGGCACCATCTTTTTGTAGAGTACACATCATTTATACATGAGTTTGCTTCTGAGCTGTTTTTCCTCTCCATTGATCTTATTCATTCATGCTCTTGGGAGTGAAAATATCTTCAATATTACAATGGTTTATGACCCTCCAAAGGGCCATACACAGTACATCTGTGGTATTAAATTTTCATAGGCCAAGATCACTCCACTGAACTCCAGCCTGGGTAACAAAGTGAGACCCTGTCACACACACACACACACACAAATTTGCCATGTATGGTGGTGTGTGCCTGTAGTCCTAGCTATTTGAGAAGCTGATTGCTTGAGCCCAGAACATTAACGTTGCAGTGAGCTATGATCATGCTATTGCACTCCAGCCCAGGTGACAGGACAAGACCCTGTCTCAAAAAAAAAAATGAATAAAGGCCAGGCACAGTGGCTCACGCCTGTAATCCCAGCACTTCGGGAAGCTGAGGCAGATGGAACACTTGAGGTCAGGAGTTCAAGACCAGCCTGGCAAACATGGTGAAACCCTGTCTTTCCAAAAAATACAAAAATTAGCCAGGCATGGGGTTGCACACCTGTAATCCCAGTTACTCGAGACGCTGAGGCAGGAGAATCGCTTGAATCTGGGAGGTGGAGGTTGCAGTGAGCCAAGATCACGCCACTGCACTCCATCCTGGGCGACAGAGCAAGGCTGTGCTCAAATTAATAAATAAATAAGGTGGATGGTTAAACAAATGTTGGTCCTTGGCTGGGTGTGGTGGCTCACGCCTGTAATCCCAACATGTAGGGAGGCCAAGGTGGGCAGATCACCTGAGGTCAGGAGTTCAGGCCAGCCTTGAAACCCCGTCTCTACTAAAAATACAAAAATTAGCTGGGCATGGTGGCACACTCCTGGAGTCCCAGCTACTCAAGAGATGGAGGCAGGAGAATCCAGCCTGGGCAACAGAGAGACTATGTTTAAAAAAACAAAAAACAAAAAACCACAAATGTTGGTCCATGCATACTATTAAATACTACTCAGCAGTGAAAACCATTAGTGGTATGCAGAAAACAAACTACTGATTTATACAACAACTTGAATGGATCTCAAAGGAATTATGCTGAGTGAAAAAAAGATAATCTCAAAAGGTTACGTATATGAATCCATTTATATAATATTCTGGAACTAGAAGAGATTGGTGGTTAGCAGGGGCGGAGGACCGGGGGTGGTGAGAGTTATAAAGGAATAACATGAAAGAGAGCTTTGTGAGAATGGAGCTGTTCAGTGCTTCGACTGTGATGGTGATTAAAGGAATCTACGCATGTGATCAAATTGTGTATAATTATAAACATACACACAAATAAGTGCGTGGGACATTTATCCATTTCATAACAAGAATTTTGTTCTTGTTGCCCAGGCTGGAGCGCAGTGGCACGACCTTAGTTCACTGCAACCTCCGCCTCCCAGGTTCAAGTGATTCTCCTGCCTCAGCCTCCTGAGTAGCTGGGATTACAGGCGCCCGGCACCACACCCAGCTAATTTTTTGTATTTTTAGTAGAGACAGGGTTTTTACCATGTTGGCCAGGCTGGTCTCGAATTCCTGACCTCAGGTGATCCACCCACCTTGGCCTCCTATAGTGCAGGGATTACAGGTGTGAGCCACCGCGCCTGGCCAAGAAATTTTTTTTTTTTTTTTTTTTTTTTTTGAGATGGCATTTCACTGTTGTCGCCCAGGCTGGAGTGCAATGGTACGATATCAGCTCACTGCAACCTCTGCCTCCTGGGTTCAGGTGATTCTCCTGCTTCAGCCTCCCAAGTAGCTGGGACTACGGGCATCCACCACCACACCCAGCTAATTTTGTTTTTTTGTTTTTTTGGGTTTTTTTTGAGACAGAGTCTCGCTCTGTCGCCCAGGCTGGTGTGCAGTGGCCGGATCTCAGCTCACTGCAAGCTCCGCCTCCCAGGTTCACGCCATTCTCCTGACTCAGCCTCCCAAATAGCTGGGACTACAGGAGCCTGCCACCTCGCCCGGCTAGTTTTTTGTATTTTTTTAGTAGAGACGGGGTTTCACCATGTTAGCCAGGATGGTCTGGATCTCCTGACCTCGTGATCTGCCCGTCTTGGCCTCCCAAAGTGCTGGGATTACAGGCTTGAGCCACTGCGCCCGGCCTAATTTTGTATTTTTAGTAGAGATGGGGTTTTGCCATGTTGGTCAGGCTGGTCTTGAACTTCTGACCTCAGGTGATCCACCTGCCTCGGCTTCCCAAAGTGCAGGGATTACAGGCATGAGCCATCAAGCCTGGCCTCGTGACAAGAAATCTGATTAAAGTCTGTGGATAGCACCCATGTCAATTTCCTGATATTGATAATGTGCTATAGTTATACAAGATATTACCATTGGGGGAAACTGGGTGAAGGGTAAACTGGACCCCCCCTTTCTCTCTATATATATGTATAGATATGTGTGTATATATGTATATATGTGTAGATATGTGTGTATATATACATATGTGAGTATATATACATATGTGTGTATATATGTGTGTATATATACACATGTCTATAATATATACATATATAATGACTTCCCATATATCTATAATTATTTCAAAATAAAAGGCTTAAACATGTTTTATGGAAGAAGGGGGAAGTAGGGAAAAAAATCTCTACAGAGGCTCCTGTGGGGACAGTAATGAAAACCAGGTTGAGTAACACTAGTCTAGCTTGTCTTAATTACTACAGTTTTGTAATAAATCTTGATGTCTGGTAGAACAAATCCTGTGGGAAAGTAATTTTATCTTTAGATTCCTGCCTCAGGGAAACCAAGGCAAACTTTTATTATATGTAAATTATAGCTTTCTCAGAACGTCCTTTAGGCCAGGCGTGGTGGCTCATGCCTATAATCCCAGGCACTTTGGGAGGCCAAGGCGGGCAGATCACTGGAGGCCAGGAGTTCAAGACCAGCCTGGCCAACATGGTGAAACCTTGTCTCTACTGAAAATACAAAAATTAGCCAGGCATGGTAGCACTGGCCTATAATCCCAGCTACTCGGGAGTCTGAGGCACAAGAATAGTTTGAACCTGGGAGGCAAAGGTAGCAGTGAGCCAAGACAGCACCACTGCACTCCAGCCTGAGTGACAGAGCGAGACTCCATCTCAAAAAAAAAAAAGAAAGTCTTCCATTATGCACCTCCAATCCAGCAAATCCTGATCACAGTCTACTCAGCTAAATGAGCCCCGTCTCACACAGCATCCAACACTCTGCTGTTTCAGGGGGGAAATAAAAGACAGTAAAAAAAGGAGCAAGGGCTGGGCGCGGTGGCTCACACCTGTAATCCCAGCACTTTGGGAGGCCGAGGCAGGCGATCACCTGAGGTCAGGAGTTCGAGACCAGCCTGGCCAATATGGCGAAACCCCATCTCTACTAAAAATACAAAACTAGCCGGGTATGGTGGCAGGTGCCTGTAATTCCAGCTGCTTGGGAGGCTGAGGCAGGGGAATCGCTTGAACCCAGGAGATGGAGGTTGCAGTGAGCCAAGATTCCGCCATTGCACTCCAGCCTGGGCGACAAATTGTGTATAATTATACACAATTTGATCACATGCATAGATTCCTTTAATCACCACCACAGTCAAATTGCACTCCAGCCGGGGCGACAGCCTACACTCCACCTTGAGACAAGAGTGAAACTCCGTCTCAAAAAAACAAAAGAAACAAACAAACAAAAAAGTGTGCCCTCAGTTACCATTTGTGAATGAATGCATGCATGCCTATTGAAGAACTAAAATGTTATTTGTAAAGTTCATCTTGAAAGAAACCAGATTAAGTTATTCAATGGAATATCTGCTTATCTTTTTCCTTCTAGGAAATAAATGTGACCTCTGGGAAAAGCGGCACGTCCTGTTTGAAGATGCCTGCACACTGGCTGAGAAGTATGGCCTCCTGGCCGTTTTGGAGACATCGGCCAAGGAATCCAAGAACATAGATGAAGTCTTCGTGCTCATGGCCAAGGAGCTGATCGCCCGCAACAGCCTGCACCTATATGGGGAGAGTGCCCTGAACAGCCTCCCACTGGACTCCAGCCCCGTTCTTATGGCCCAGGGTCCAAGTGAAAAGACCCACTGCACTTGTTGAGATGTTTGCAAAGCCAGTCACACCCACCAAAGAGGCCACCTCTGAAACTAAAGGTAGCCAGGATACCGTAGTGTTGCCCCAGTAGCACTTTAGACCCCAGCGTGGACTTGCCGCTCACCCCTAATCCTCCCAGTCTGGATGGGTCATGCTTCTCCCTTGACTCACACCACAGGTCGTAGCTGCTGACTCTCAGGAAAACCAGCACCATTGTTTTCACTGACTCTTGACTCCTGGAGAAAGCAGGACTTCAGGCCAGGAGAGGGAGGACGAATTGTACTCTTCTCCCCTTTCACTTTTCTGTCTCCCCAACGCTTCTGCTGCTTTCTACTGAATTTCGTTTCTTGCTTGAAGAAGAGCGTAGTGAAGGAGAGGAGGGAGGCAAAACAGCAAGAGAGAGAAGAGGCTGTTTGGAACATTCTGGAGCAGTTTGAAACAGCTCAGGCAGGGAGAATGGAACAAAAGCCCGCAATGAGAAACCAGAATGCTGCTATCATTTTGTTCCTGACATTCACACCTCAGGTCTTCACTTTGGGGAGCAAAGCCTTTTAGCAGAAATACCAGAAGTACCATCTTGCCAAATGGTCAGGAACTGTCTGATGGAGATGGAACTGGAATTCACTCTATTCTAGCAGGGCTGCCTTGGCCACCCACCCGGGATAGGGGAGACACCTGCAATTTTTTTTCTTTCTTTCTTTTCTTTTCTTTTTTTTTTTTTTTTTTTTTTTTTTTTTTTTGAGACAGGGTCATACTCTGTCACCCAGGCTGGAATACAGTGGTGGGGTCTTGGCTCACTGCAACCTCCGCATCCTGGGTTCAAGAGATTCTCCCACTTCAGTCTCCCAAGTGGCTGGGACTACAGGCACACGCCACCACACCTGGCTAATTTTTGTACTTGCTGTAGAGACGAGGTTTCACTATGTTGCTCAGGCTGATCTTGAACTCCTGAGCTCAAGTGATCTGCCCACATTAGCTTCCCAAAGTGCTGGAATTATAGGCATGAGCCACCACACCCGATCTTCTTCTTCTCCTTCTCCTTCTCCTTCTTTTTTTTTTTTTGAGACTGAGTCTTACTCTGTCACCCAGGCTGGAATGCAGTGGTGCGATCTCGGCTCACTGCAACCTCAACCTCCAACTCCTGGGTTCAAGCGAGTCTCCTGCCTCAGCCTCCCAAGTAGCTGGGACTATAGGCACCCACCACCACGCCCAGGTAATTTTTTTTTTTTTGTATTTTTAGTAGAGACTGGGTTTCACTATGTTGGCCAGGCTGGTCTTGAACTCCTGACCTCGTGATCCACCCATCTCAGCCTCCCAAAGTGCTGGGATTATGGGCATGAGCCACCATGCCCGCGGGGCCTTATCTTTTTTTTGAGACGGAGTTTCACTCTTGTTGCCCAGGCTGGAGTGCAATGATGTGATCTTGGCTCACGGCAACCTCCTCCTTCCAGATTCAAGTGATTCTCCTGCCTCAACTCCCTAGTAGCTGGGATTACAGGCGCCCGCCACCACGCCTAGCTAATTTTTGTATTTTTAGTAGAGATGGGGTTTCACCATGTTAGCCAGGCTGGTCTCAAACTCCTGACTCGTGATCCGCCCGTTTCGGCCTCCCAAAGTGCTGGGATTACAGGCATGAACCGCTGCACCCAGTCTTTTTTCTTTTTTTCTTTTTTTAATTGTAGAAATGCAGTCTTGCTGTGTTGCCCAGGCTGGTCTCCAATTCCTGAGCTCACAGGATTCTCCCACCTCAGCCTCCCAAAAAGCTGGGATTACAGGTGTCAGCCACCATGCCCGGCCCAATTTCTTTCTGAAACCCCAAATCATCTACCATATCAGAAGTCATTTTTGAATTAAAATTAAATTGGTTCATAGATGAATATCAAGCCAGCGTTGTACTGCCCCTTCTGTAAGATGTGGCCAGAGAGCAGCTGGTGCCTTCTGGAATGGAGTAACCCCGGATTTCAGAACTAAACATGTAAGAGGAGGCTGGAAGGCACCAGGCGCCCCTCGTTTCCAGGACTGTGTTAGGGGACATCAGGGCAGGCAGCAGGAGCAGGCCAGGGAGCCCTTCCAGGGTCCCAGGGAGCTGTGGACACTCACCTGGGGCTTCCGGAGGACAAACACCACTTATGACTGCAGCTGCCATTTACTGAGCTGCTTCTTGTGGCCAGAAGTTGTGTGGGGTCTGTGGGAAGTGAATGGTCCCCTTGGTTTGTGATGCCAGTGGAAGGGAAAGAGGTACCAGCTGCGTTCTGCTGCTCCTCTTTTTTCTTTTCTTTTCTTTTTTTTTTTTTTTTTTGAGATGGAGTCTCGCTCTGTCACCCAGGCTGGAGTGCAATGGCGTGATCTCAGCTCACTGCAACCTCCACCTCCCAGGTTCAAGTGATTCTCCTGCCTCAGCCTCCTGAGTAGCTGAGATTACAGGGGTATACCACCACACCTGGCTAATTTTTGTATTTTTAGTAGAGACAGGGTTTCACCATGTCGGTCAGGCTGGTCTTGAACTCCTGACCTCGGGTGATCCACCCGCCTCAGCCTCCCAAAGTGCTGGAATTACAGGCTTGAGCCACTGCGCCCAGCCTGCTACTCTTAACATCCTTGGACTTTCTCTCATCCAGCATCCTCTCATCCAGCAGTAGCTCTTAGTCCCCCCTTTCCCTGCTCCGCTCCTTTTTTTTTCTCTCTTTTTCCTTTTTTTTTTTTTTTTGAGATGGTGTCTTGCTCTATTGCCCAAGTTGGAATGCAGTGGCGTGATCTTGGCTCACTGCAAGCTCTGCCTCCCAGGTTCAAGCGATTCTCCTGCCTCAGCCTCCTGAGTAGCTGGGACTATAGGCGTGTGCCACCACACCCGGCTAATTTTTTGTATTTTTAGTAGAAACGGGGTTTCACCATGTTAGCCAGGATGGTCTCGATCTCCTGACCTCATGATCCACCCTCCTAAGCCTCCCAAAGTGCTGGGATTACAGGTGTGAGCCTCTGTGCCCAGCCCTTTTTTTCTTTTTTGAGATTGAGTTTCGCTCTTGTTGCCCAGGCTGGCATGCAATGGCACGATCTGGCTCCCTGCAACCTCTGCCTCCTGGGTTCAAGTGATTCTCCTGCCTCAGCCTCTGGAGTAGCTGGGATTACAGGCATGTGCCACCACGCCTGGCTAATTTTGTATTTTTAGTAGAGACAGGGTTTCTCCATGTTGGTCAGGCTAGTCCTGAACTCCTGACCTCAGGTGATCCACCTGACTTGGCCTACGAAAGCGCTGGGATTACAGGCATGAGCCACCATGCCTGGCCCCCTGCTTCACTCTTAGCATCTGAGTATCAGGGCCCCAATCACAGCCCATCTGCCTTTCAGCGAGAGTAAGGCAGTCTTTGGGCTCCTTCCCTGGACTGGTCTTCTCCTTGGCCTTAAGTTATTCTCCTGCTCCTTTATACATTTCTTGGTCCCCAAGGAGTCCTTAGGTAGGAGCCAGAATTTAGATTCTGACCTTCGGGATACATCCATAAACTAAGCCAGCCACAGAGAAGAAGGACAAAACTAGGAGACCTACAGAGCACGAGCCTCCTCCCAGTTCTCCTTCACCATCAGGAAGCACTCTTCATTTTTCTCAGTTAAGGTGCCTTTTAGAAATTTCTTGTCTTGCGACAGAGTCTTCCTTCCTTGTTGATTATAGTCTATTCTTGAGGAATGGATCCATCAGTCTGTTCAGTGTGTGTCCCAGTGCCGGCTGAGGGTGGGCACTGATCAAGATGAACGGCCCGCCGCGCCTCCCATGGGGGCTAGCCCTCTCCCGTTCTGAGGAGCAGCCATGCAGCCCCCGCTGAAAGCAAGCCTCACCCTCTTTCCCCTCCTCCTCCACCCCTAGGAAGAGATCTCAGTTCAGATACCAATGGCAGCTGGAGTACTAGTCTTCCCTGAGACACCTGTATTTTGATGGGAATCAAAGACACAAACCTACAGACAAAGCTGTAAGGTTGGAACTGTAGCCAGGACTTCAGCTCACAGGATCACAGGAAAAGAAAGGCATCTAGAGAGAAGGAGGCCTTCTGGGAACCCCTGAGATCACCGCTAGGACAGCCATCATCCTAGTGTGGACATCCCCACCGGGAGAGTGTTTTTCTATGCACAGGTGTCCTCCACTCCAGGCCTCCCAGACAGGTGTTGAGGGGATGGAGATGGCTGCTTGGTGCCAGGTGGAGGGAGGGCTCCACACAAAGACACCAGTTGCCTGAGCAGCTCCCCTAAACAAGCCGCAGCCCAGATGAGTCATGTTAGTCCCTCGTTTTTGCTGGAATGTCTGCCCTTCCTTACAGAACCCTCCTCTCCTCACTGTGTTCACAAAGGGCAAGTTCTGAGACCAGCTGCCAAACCCTGGCTTCCACGGTCCAGTTAAGAATTTGCATTAGGCTGGGTTACCTGAGGTCAGGAGTTCGAGACCAGCTGGTGAAACCCTGACCAACATACAAAAATCAGCCAGGTGTGGTGGCGTATGCCTGTAATCCCAGCTACTCAGGAGGCTGAGGCAAGAGAATCACTTGAACCTGGGAGGCAGAGGGTGCAGGGAGCCGAGATTGCACCATTGCACTCCAGCCTGGGTGACAATAAACAAACAAACAAACAAAAAGAATTTGCATTAAAGTTCTGAGAGGTACCGCAGCCATATCCACAGGTCCTTCCTCACTCAATCAACTGTCTCTACCAGGACACCTACCAGAAAAACCAACTTCCTAAGTCTATCACCAATATAGCGGCCTCCTGTGTTTGGGTGCAGGTACTTGGCAGTGTGTGTGCATGTGCCCAGGCTCACCCACTTAGTCAACAAGCCAAGGCAGGGGCCCACAGCTCTCTGTGACCCACCTGGGCAAACGTGGCCCGTGATAGAAGGAGAGGGTGATGGTGTGAGACTCAAACCCCTGGGCTTGGGCACTATGTATCCTTGGACAAGTCACACACCTCTGTGAATTCCCTTTGCTCAAGCATATGATGCCGTTGCTTAAACACTTGTGAGGACCAAGAGAGGGAATGGCTGTGAAAATGCTTTGAAAATATAAAACCAGGCCAGGCACGGTGGCTCATGCCTGTAATCCCAGTACTTTGGGAGGCTGAGGTGGGAGGATCACCTGAGGTCAGGAGTTCAAGACCAGCCTGGCCAACATAGCAAAACCCCGTCAC